GAGCTCATCCCGGGTGTCAGATACACCAGGATAACAGCTCTGGAAGGCTGAGCTCATCCCAGGTGTCACCTACACCGGGGTAACAGCTCCAGGTGACACCTCCCTGCTCCAGTGCCAGCACAGTTGGTGTCCCAGGGCAGTTTCCCAGGGCAGGGACGTGCTGCCAGCCCTGTTCCTCCCCTGCCTGTGCCCACCCACCCCTGTGCCCTCATCCCCAGGCAGCCTTTTCCAAGCACACAGCTCAGAGGATTGAATCCCAAGCCCACACAAGGCTCGAGTTTCCCACGGAGCTGCGTCCTGGCACGTGGGGCCCGGGGTGGCTCCGACAAAAAGGTGGCACAGGGACAGTGTGGCAGTGCCAGCCCTGCCCAGGTACAGGGGCAGGGCGAGGAGAGGGGTCCCTGTTTGGCAGTGTCAGCCCTTGGAGGCTCAGGGGAGGGATGGTGGAGGTGAGGAATGTCGTGAGGATGAGCTGGGAAGGGAGGGGAGGGCTCAGGGGAGGAGAACAGCAGTTCTTACCTGCAAAGGATTCAGGGGGGGAGTAGAACTGCCCCTCAGAGAGGGCCCGGGGGTAGAGCAGGGGCCGTGAGGCCGCAGCCTGGGCTGCCAGGTACCCTGGGAACAGGAGCACAGGGATTACACACTGGTATCCCCACCCAGGGGTCCCAGCCCTGCCCAAACACCCTCCCAGCCACTCGTTTCCCACATTTTCCCATGAGTTTTCCCACTGACACCAGCCAGCCCACGAGCTTTGCAGCTCCTGTTGCCTCATCTTTTGTCTGAGACGTTTTATCTGCCCGGAGATCAATGGGCTCCTCTGCCTGTCAAATAATCCAAAGGCGATTAAGCATCTAATTAAATAAGAGCTTCCCCTGGAAGCAATTTGGAACCTGAGCCTAATCCAATAGAGGCATTAAACACTTGATCATTTTTCATCTTAAAGCCTCCTTGCAAGACCCAAACATCCTCTGGTGCTTTCCAGTCAGTCAGAGCATTTCTGATCCAGCCCTGCCTGATAAATGCCCCCTCGTTCAGTGCCACTTCCCAGCCAGTGAGGCCTGGAAGAGGGACAAATCCTTGTGCTGCTGCAGAAATGGGCAGCTATTCCAGTCCAGGATGAGCACCCGCTTCCTGGAAGGACCCTGGGAGTTGCAGGGTGACGTGGAAAGCATTAGGTCAGGCTCAGTCTGTGCTCAGGGTGACCTCAGAGACCACAGGCTGTGGAATGTCACACCCCATAACTCACACAGTGCCCCATAACTGCAGCAATCCCCTCTGGAAAGGTCTCCAGACAGATCCAAGCACAGGGATCAGGGACAGGGAGTCCAACACTCTGCCTGGCATTTGCCTCACTGCTTCCCAACACTTTCTCCCATGCAGAGGATCCAGACACTGGGGAATCTGGCACATTTTTCTCCCCTCAATTAAAAGATGCTTTTTATAATCTGGTATTTTCTTCCCCTGAAGGGACTCGTACACCATTAGCAGAACTGAGTCAGGCACTTCCCATCCCAGCCAGCCTGGAGATGCCTTCTCCAGAAATGTCAGATAAAAAGGTGCTGCCAAAGCAGCAGCAACCCCAGGCCTGGTGCTTTCATCCAACCCCTACCAGGGAAGAGCGAGGTACTCACATCGCTCCTCTTCTGCTTCCTGAGTGAGGACTTTAAAATCCAGGAACCAGGTCTCCAGCCAGGCAATGACAAACGAGACGATGGGAAGCAAGTAGCCAAAAGCCCCTTTGGTCAGAAGCTGCGTGGAGGAAAACACAGGGAATTACCCAAATGGGATTAAGAAAAAAAAACAACAACCAGCATCAAGGAACCGCAAAGGGAGTGCAGGGAAACCAACCTCGGAGAGGATGACCTTCACAATCAGGAAGGCACTGGAGACCAGTGTGGTGACCTGGAACATGAATTGACGTGGCTCAGATAAATAAACAAGCTCCTCAGATCCCTGTGAAGCCCAGGGGGAGAGGGAAAATGAAACCAGGAGAGGCCAAAGTGGCTCTTACCGCGATGACCCACCAGTGGCGCAGGCGGACGACGGCGTAGGCCAGGAGCAGCACCACGAACCGAAACAGGGCCAGGAGCTGCACCAACACCCCCCCAGAGACACCAGTCACTGCCCCTGCCCCAGTGCCAGCTGCTGGGGGGGGCAGGGACAGGCGCCAGCTCCCGAGGGACAGGCGGGGTCAAGGCTGTGACCGGCTGGGAATCGAGGTTTGGGTTGTGGGGACACCCCAGACCCTCCCTGTCCCCCCGTTCCCGAGCCCTGCAGGAGGCTGAGATACTCACAAATATGTCAAAGAAAGAGCTCTTGAACTTGTAATCAATGATTTCTTCCTTCAGGTTCTTCTGGATGCCATCCTTGGTCTGAGGGGAGAGACAGGGAAGCAGGAAGCTGCTGAGTGCACTGATAAGGAACTCCCGGGAGAAGGAGCCCGGCCAAGCAGTGCCTGGGGTTATGGCCAGGGCAAGGAAGGCACCTGGAACACAAATGCTGCCCAGCACAGGAGCAGGGAGGATCCCACAGCACATTTCCCCCTGGGATTCACACTGAGGAGCGTGGGTTGGGCAGGCAGGGACATTAAACACCTCCGTGTGCTGATTTCCAACACCCAAATCCGCTCCTTTGGCTCAGCACAGCCAGAGCCACCAGATTCTGAAGGCCCTGGATGGGCACCTCCCCCTGCTTCCAGGTGACAGACTTCAGAGGAACGGGAGGAGACGTGGAAAAAATGGAAAACCACAGGAAAATGCTTCAGCAGCACCTTCGGTAACGCACTGAGCCATCAGAACATCTCCCTGCCAGGGCTCTCGGGGTCACCCAGGACCTGGGGGGGGGTTTAAGGACCCTCTGAGGGGTCCCCTCTCCCTCCTTCCCAGCCACAGCTTCCCACAGCTCACAGCAGCACTCCAGGAAACGTGATGGAAGGAGGGAACCAGCGGGTTCAAACGTGCTGGCAAAGGGAAGAGGGAGGAGGAGGAGGAGGATGCTCAGCCACGGGGACAGAGGGAACCTGCAAGAGGCAAAACCACCCTCTGGGATTCAGGGAAAAGGCTCAGAGAGGAGCATTCCCACCTCACCCCAAGATAATCCCGGCTCTGACAGCCCTGGCACCACAAATCCTGGGAGCTGGGATGGCTGTTTGTGAGGAGATTGGGACAAGTGCTGCACCTTCAGGCTGTTGGTAGGAGCTGGGCCCAGCTGGCTGGGAGGGGCTGGACGTGAGGAGCTCTTGGATGGGCTGTGAGGAGGAACGAGGTGGTGGATCCCGGGCCAGCCCTTGGCAGGAGGTGTCCTGGCACCCTCCAAGGGCAGGAGAGGAGCCACTGGGAAGGGATCCCTCTGGGCAAGGGCTGGGGGTTAAAATCCAGGGAGAGGGGGGCAAGGAGAGGGGGCAAAGCAGCGCTGGGCTGTTCCTCCAGCTGGTCTGTGGCCACGGGACTTGTGCCAGCTTTGCCACCAAGAGCCTCTTCCCACACCACGGGATGCTCCAGGAGGGATGAGACCCAGGGAAAGCTCTGGGTGTTGGCTTTTGGGGGCTGTTTTCAGCTCAAACACAGGCTGTGGACAAGGCAGACAAACGACCCGAGGCATCTCTTTGTCTCTGCAGAATTACAGTTTGCTCTTAACGAGGGGCAATTTGCTCAGCTTATCTCAGAGCCGAGGAAACCGTTGGGATAACAAAAAGGGAAGAAAAAAAAGGCCCATTAGTCATGATACCAAATCGTTGCTCTTCATAATCAGGCAAATAAGCTGCTCTAATAGCTTTAAATATGCAGCATCTCGGCTCGGGGCCCAAATATCAGCAGTTAGTCACTCATTAATGGCTACCTGAACGACCCACGCTCGGCATCACCCTGGTGACCGAGCCAGGATTATCTCCCCGGGGCTGGAATTGCTGGTTTGGAGGCAGCACCTCCCCCTGGGAGAACTGGGACAGGAGCAGGAGGCCGGGGTCCAAACTGGGCGTGCTGGACAGCACTGGCATCGCTGGAATGCTGGCTGGGAGATGGTTTTTCCTAAGGGGATGAAGGGCAGGGGTCTCCTGGGGCTCCCAGGGCAGGGTGAGGAGCTGCTGCCAGGACAATCTGTTAAGTGCAGACGTCCAGAGATAAGAAGGGCAGAGATAAGGGCTGTAAAAGTGAGCAGGATCCAGTGCTGATAAACCAAGGCCAGAGCCCAGGGTCTATCAGATCATCTCTTCCAGGGAAGGACATGAAGTGCCTGAAACCAGTCAGGACCGGTCCAGGGAAAATAAAAACAAAATACAGCCCAGGGAGGGACCTGGGCCCAGTGGGACTGGGGTAAATAAACTGGATTTTCCCGGTGGTTGCAACACAGAGCAAAAGGCAGCAGTTTGTGACAGTCAGAGGGGACCAAACCCCTCGTGTTACAGTCCCCTGGGAGGTGGAACAGCACCTCCAGCTTTCCAAAGCTGAGATTAGCAGCAGTATTTTGGGATCAAAGCCCCTCGAGGATCCTCCCCTGCTCCGAGAACACGACAGCAGCGAGCCCAGGGAGCAGCTTTGCTTAAGGCCAGGGGAGCAGCAGGGAAATTTGGCTCAACCTGGTGATTCCAGGAGCCCTGGATGTCCTTACAACACAACACAACGTCACAGGGACGGTGTTAACGACCCTGGACAGCCCCCACAGGGCCCAGGGCAGGAAACGAGCTGGACTTTAGTTTACACTCAGGAACAGCCAGCGCTGGGAAGAGCAAACAAAGATTGGTCCCAGGAGTGCCGGGGACAGAGCAATTAACTGAGGGAGCCTAAACAGGGCAAAGATTCCCGGGTTTTGCTTCCTCCAACTCACATTGAGCTCGATGATCCAGAGCAGGGAGATGAAGAGCAGGTCGAAGGTGACGAAGAGGCAGAAGGTCCTCCTCACATCCGAGATGACCTTCCTCTTCTCTGGGGACAAGAAGTAGGGGGAGAAGCCCTGGCTCTGGGAGAGGGAGGAGCTGATGGAGGCGATGGCTGGCAGGCTGCGTTCCAGGTCGTGCTGCAGGTCCGTGGGCTTGTTCATCCTCCGGGATCGGCACCGGGAACGTCGGGATCGGCACCGGGAACGTCGGCCGCGGCAGCGTCACCTGCGGGGGGACACCGGGGACACTCAGACACCCCTCCTGCCACCCCCTGGGGGCAAATAATCCTATGGACATCAGATATTGGGAATAAATTCCTCCCTGTGAAGGTGGGGAGGCCCTGGCACAGGTTGCCCAGAGAAGCTGTGGCTGCCCCATCCCTGGAAGTGTCCAAGGCCAGGTTGGAGCGACCTGGGATAGTGGGAGGTGTCCCAGCCCATGGCAGGGGGTGGGACTGGATGGGCTTTAAGGCTGTGACAGCAGAAAAAGGAGGCCCAAACCTCACAGAGATGCCATGGTAGAAGGAAAAGGGGCCACAAACCCCATGGAGATGCCATGGAAGCAGAAAAAGGGGCTGCAAACCCCATGGAGATGCTGTGACGGAAGGAAAAGGGACCCCAAACCTCATGGAGATACCGTGGTAACAAGAAAAGGGGCTGCAAACCCCACGGAAAGGCCGTGACAGGAGGAAAAAGGGGCCCCAAACCCCACACAAAGATGTCATGGAAGCAGGGAAAGGGGCCTCAGGATGTTTCAGGAGCAGTCCCCAGGATCACCTCACCCTTCCCTGTGCAGGGAAGGCAAAACCTCGGGAGCCGAGGGCACAGATCCCAACCTGCACAGCCAGGACAGGACCCTGCTCCCCCCAGGGGTGGGATGGTGGGTCTGATGCCTGGCTGGGCCAGGCAGAGCAGCAGGGAGGCAGCAGGGAAGGGGCTGCTCCGCGTCCCAGCTCAGGGCTGGCGGTGCCGGGCACGCGCGATCCCGGCACGAGCGAGGTGCTGGAATTCTGAGCCTTGTTTTCCTGCAGCTGTGCCAAGCATTGTGCTGAGATGTTTCCTCTCCGTCAGAGGAGCACAAGGAGGGCCCTGTGGAGCTGGAGCGTGACACGGGCACGGGAGACAAACACGGAACGAGGATGCCAGAACAGGTTGGACCAGGGGATCTGTCAGTGCCACCTCCCAGTCACCCCCACAGCCTCCCTCCCTCCCTCCCAAACAAACCCTCCTGCTCTGGGATGTTTTGCCTCCCAAAAGAACCCCCTCCTGGACTGTTTGTGGCACAAGCTCTGGGGCAGTTCTATGCCTGCTGGGATTCATCCACAACAGACCCCAACTCTGACAACCAGGAAAAAACAACACAAGGGTGTGCCCAGGCCTTTGGGAAGGGGCAATCCATGGGGGTAGGAGAAGCTGCCAAGCCCCCTGGACATTGGAGCACCGAGCACAGCCTGATTTGGGGCGATCTGGGGCTGATTTGGATCCCCGAGGCAGCGGCTCCTGCGTCCCATCCCCGGGGAGCAGCAGGGCCGGGAAGGGAACAAAGCTGGACTCCTGTCAAGTCCCTGCTAGTCCCTTCCAAAGGAGCTGGAAGCCCTGTCACTTCGGATCAGCCGCTCCAGGCGCCGGGCCCCGGCTCAAAGTGACAAAAGTTAAGGACATCTGTGGGGGATAAATAATAAATCACCTCACGCCGCCCCCTCCCCCCCTCCTACAGCACTTTGCACTTAGGCAGCAACCCCCCCACAACTTTCACAGTGCTTTAAAATCACCCTGGGAGGCTCCAGGGACCCGATCCCGGGATGCCGAGGGGCCAGGGAGGGGTGTTGGGACACGGCAGGACATGGGGACAAGGTGGGGCATGGGGACAAGGCAGGACATGAGGACACGAGGACACGACAGGACATGGGGATACGGGGACACGGCAGCCCTGGTGCAGCTCATCCATCATTAATCCCAGCCTTCCCAAGGAGGTTTAAGCTTGGTTTGGAACACCCCCCCTGCCATCCCAAACCATCCAGGCACCGAGGATTCCCGAGGGAACACCACAGCACCTTGGGGCAGGAATATTGGGAGGCTGGATGAAAGCAGGGCGTGGATGAGAGGGAGAGGAGCAAGGAGGCTGTTCCTTGGGTGGCAGATGAATTATTGAGCTGCCTGGTGCTGTATTATGCATTCCAGCATCCTCCGCATCCCGACGCTCCTGCAGCCGGGAATGGGGGGCGGGGGGGTCAGCAGAGGGTCGGGATCTGCTCCCGGGGAATGAGGGACGGGACCAGAGGGAACGGCCTCGAGGAATTCCTTCATGGAAAGGGTGGTCAGGCACTGGAAGGGGCTGCCCAGGGAATGGTGGAGTCCCCATCCCTGGAATGTTCGAAAAAAAAAAGCTGTGGATGCGGCACTTGGGGATGTGGGTTAGTGGTGACAATGAAGGGTTGGACTTGGTGGCCTTGGAGGGCTTTTCCAGCCTAAATGACTCGGTGATCCCGCTCCAGCAAGGGGCACACA